GTGAGCTAGGAGGCGGCTTCAGCAAAAGCAGGGAACATGGGAATGGAGAAGAAGCACATTTGAGAGCCGAGGAGGAGTCGGCCGTCAGGGCTTGGTTGCTGTTTGTACGGATGAGTAGGAGGGAACTTAGATGATGCCCAGGTGAATGCGTGGGCAGCTGACATGGGATATGAATGTAGGAAGAACAGACTGGGGCAGTGGAAAGATGATGAATTCTATTCTAGACATTCTGCACTTCAGGTACTTGTGGGACATTTGGGTAGAGAAACTTAGCAGACAGATCTGTGCAGCTGGGCGCCAGGCAGACAGTCAAGATTTACAGTACTAGGAATCACCTCTTGATTCTTAGCAGTGCGTTTAGGACCAATTGTGATATATTGGATTCTAAGGCTGATACAACAAGTCATAAACTGGGATACTTAAAACAGATTTATTCTGTCACTGTTTGGGAGTTAGAAATCCAAAGTCAAGGTGTCAGTAAGGATTAGTTCTTTCTGGAATCAGGGAGAATCCGTTCTATGCCTCTTACTTAGCTCCTAGTGGCTGCTGGCAATGCTAGTGTTCCTTGGGTTTCAAATGCATAATCCATTCCCTGCCTCCATAGTCACATGACCTTCCTCCCGGTGTCTCTGTCCTTCAGATCTCTCTTGTCTCATAAGGACACAAGGACACCAGTCATCGGATTTAATCCCCCCGCCCCCAATACAAGGCAATCTCATTTCAAGACCTTTAATTTAATTATATCTGCAAGAACTCTGTTTCCAAATCAGGTCACATTTACAGATACCAGGGCGTAGGAGGAGACGTACCATGTCTTTCTGAGAGACAAAACTTAACCCGTCACAGGTGTATTCCTGTTTCTCCTTCTACCTTTCAACAGCTGTTTTCATCATGGAGCAGCCATGACTCACTTTACCTGTTTGGATTTTATCCTCTCTGAGATTGGATTCGCCAATTTGCCCATTTATTCTGCCCCTGAAAATATATAAAAAGGGCCTTTTTTAATTTTGAGAATTTTGTTGGTAATGGTTAAGAAGCAACAGTGAGGCACAAAACATCAATTTGTGGTAAATTGCATAAGGTTACAGAATCTCGCAAGTATGGCCACGGTTGCTAACTGCGTTTCCCCCGCCTCATCCAAGATGCTAACGGAGCCATAGCGGCCTTCGCCTGCTTGTGTCCCCTGACTGAGGCCCGCTAACCCGCTCCCAAACACACGCCTGTCTTGATCCTGCCTTTACATACATTGGCTGCCTTAGCGTATGATGAAGGAGGAGTAACAGGTAGCAGGAGAACATTTTGGGTCTTTTTGGACACTGGTGAGGGACTTCCATTTACTTGAAACTGTCTACCAACAAGAAACGATACCTCCTCATGGACTTTATCATAATGGTTGAAGCCATGGAACAAGACTGCTGAGGGTAAGCACAGATAGGAAATGAAAGCAGAAAGAAAAAAGAAGAATAACATTTTTTACTGTCTCCTCGGGTACCAAGTGTTAGAGACACCTTCATGTGTGCTATTGTATTTAATTCTTCCATTTATTTTACAGGTGAGGGAAGTGAAAACTCAGAAAGATTGTTATAATTTTTCAAATATCACATTTTTAAGAGTTCAAAACCCAGCTCCATCTGAACCCAACACCCAAATTTTTCATTTCACTAATGCTATTGGGCAAATACACTGCCAGTTAATGAGTAACCGTCAGGAACATTTGTGATACTAAAAACTCCATCAATTCTTTCATCTTCACAACATTTGTGTTTTCAGGTCTGTGTTGTTCCCATTTAACCAATGAGACCATGGAGACTTAGGAAAGTGAAACAACGTTTGTAATTTATACAGCTAGCAAGTAGCAAAGCTAGGATTTTAGTTTAGACTTGTCTAACTCTAAAATACATGCTTCTCCTGAAGATTGAAGCCCTGCAGCAAAATCTAAAAAGCAGGTGAAGAAAGGATCCCAGGGAAGGACATGGAGATGGGGGAGTCAGAGAGGAGAGAGGGGAGCCGGTGCTTTGAGGAGAAACAAGGAAGGGAGGCGTTCCAGTGAGGAGGGGGTCAGTGATGTCACTGTGCAGGGCATGGAACACGCCCCGAGGCCGGGCAATGAAACGACCACAGGAAGCAGACCCGAGACTGTTACAGGAATGGAGCAGTGACGAAGGAGTGCGAGAGTGTGAATCTTTGAGAAGCTTGGCTTAGAAGGTAAATGGAGAGACGCGGTTGGAACAAGGGGGCAACAGAAAGCTGAGAGGGAGACTTTATGTGCCTGTTTCAGGAGCAGAACCTTGGGTACTGACAAGTTGAGGTGGTGGAGATGGGAGAGAAATGCAGATAGATGACAGATGTGGAGGAGAATAACCGATGGCGAGGTATAGGAACCTAGAATATGAGTGTAAGGGATTTATCTTGAATGAAATCGGAGGAACCATTTTCACTGAAGCAGGAAGAGACGTAAGTGGAGGTCGATTTGAAGCTAGCATAGGGCTGGGTGTGCAGAGCAGGAAGATGGAAGGTTAGCCTTGCTGGTCTTTCCAAACTCAGAGGCCAGACCATTTGCCAAGAGAGGAGGAGTCAGCAAGACTGGGAATTTGGTGACTGCGATTAGAACAAAATGTCAAGAATCGCCAACCAATTTCATTAAGAGTCAATCTATGGTGTATAGATGGCTTTTATGATTTAACACAAGAGGTAAAAGTGGTAGAATTCCATATAGATGTTAACTAAAACTCAGGTTTCCAAAAGCAGGGATGTTTACTTGAAAGTGAACAGCTACTTCCGCCTGCACATGAACGCACACCTCAACTTGGAAGTGGCCACTACAGAACACACTCGTGTCAGTCATTCACCCCCATGACAACTTGCATTCCTTCCACGTCAGTATTAACTATTTTTCCTTCACACTATCATCTTGGAAGCACCTAAAAAGCACAAAGAAGTCATACTTGTAGTCAGTGCCATGTGACAAACCATTTCACATATATCTGTACTCTGGAAAAGCTAGATAGATTACAGAAGTGCATGACGCCAGGTTGTCCATGAACAGCGATTAGAGGGGAGAAAAATCAAGCTGATCCCCTTAGGATGTTACTAAATGAACATATACTAAGACCATCACTGCCATATCAGAGCTACATTTCTTTCTAGAATGGTAGTTGATGAACTGAATAGTTCAAGGACAATATATTAAGAAGGTTGTTCAAGTCAGGATAAGATAATGTTAAAAACAACCATCTTTTATAGTAAATATTAACCCTGAAAGGTCTGACCTAGGGTCAGTTGTCCATATGGAAAATAATACAACAACTAGTAAATAATAATGCAAGAATAAACTCTGTGTTTCACCTACTCACGACTGTCAACCTACTTTTGCCCCACCCTGTATAGTAGCTGCAGGCTCCCCCTTGTATGGACAACCCTGGAGTTTATCTTTCTGCCTGAAGGAGATCAGAGGATGAGGTCTGGTCCCTGCATAATAGTGGGGGGTGGGGCGGGAGGCGCTGCTGCGCTAATCTCACATCAGCTTCTTCAATAGAAGTGTTTAAGCGGCAGAAAGTATTCTGTGTTTTGGCAATCAGCAGATCAGATAGAAGAGTCTAGCTGTACAAGGAGGAGGTGTAATCTGACATGATTAGACAAGGCTCTTTAGTACCAGAACATTCATAATTGAGACAAAGAAATAGTATTAATAACACTTTCCTAACACGGCAGTTAGCCATTTTATATTTCCTTTCTTTAATCTTAGTGTTTTTCAACAAATCATGGGATTTAATAGCATGTTTTGGCAGATTAGAGGATTTATGGCCCAGATGTTTTTTGTTCTAAAAATGGATTAGGGTGTAAAGTTTGCTGGAATCCATGGAACATGTTGAGGCAAGCCGGTCATTTTATGTGTGATTAGTGCCTGCCTTCTGTCTCGCAGTCCCTCCATCTGTCACAATTCACCAATGGATCTGGTTAGATTTAGCCTGGTGTCACAAACAAGTCCCTTTTCTGGGCAATTTCATATTATAGATTCAGTTTATACCATTTTATGCCCTAGTTAAAAGATAAGGAGAGTGAAAGATGAGATATTAACTTTCCTTTCAATGTTTGCAAAACAATCTTTTCTCATTGGTATTCCACCTTAAGATCAGGCAGATTATCATAATAATGTGCATCAAATAAATAAACGTGCAGTGTTAAAGTTAAATTAAAATTAGTTTTGCTCCTTACACCTGTTTTTCTTCAAATATATATATTCTGGATTGTAGAACTGTAGGTACAGGCTGGTCATTTGACCATCTTATTAAGAGTGTGAATTAAGTGTGACTATTCATACCAATAGCCACAATTTTTTTTTTTTTTAAATCAAACAATTATAGGTACTTGGTTACATTCTGTGCTTGAAATTTAGCATCTTAACTATTGCAAGGTATGTATCCATAGCAAACCACTGCCACCTGGGGTTTACTTCACTGTAAATGAATTCAGGGGCAAACGCATTTCTCTGTCAGTTAATAATGATTTATTTTTTCTGTAATAACAATCTAAAAGTGCTATACATAAACTTTAAGTTGACCTTTTTAATGCTATGAGAGTGTCATATAATGATAATTATCCATATCTGTGTCCTGTGGTAACATTAAAATAATCCTTACATAAAAAGAAAAAACCAAAAAAACAAAGTTAGGTTTTATTTTTGCATGACAAAATATTCAGATACCTACGAAGAGTTTATTTAAAAACTGTATTTCAAACTTCTTTCCAAATGTGTGGAAACAACTGTATTTTACTTAAATATTAGGTTTTTGTTACAGATGTGTGGCACTGTGTGCATGTGTGACGATGTGAATGAATCAGCTATCATCAGTTACTTATTCATTCATTCATTTAGACAAATCCTCCTGGGAAGTGATGATATGCCAGACCCTCGCCGTTACCCCCAAAGAAGTGATTGTTATTGTTAAAGTTTCCACGCGTTTGTATAAAACATAGCCTTTGTTCTGTCACATCTTCAGGTTATTTAAATGACCATGATGCTGTCACCAAGGCAATCCAAGAAGCGCGGCAGATGAAGGAGCAGCTTCGGCGGGAACAACAGGTGCTGGACGGGAAGGTGGCTGTTGTGAACAGTCTAGGTCTCAATAACTGCCGGGCGGAAAAGGTGAGTTCACCGGAACTCTGGCTTTCTGAAAGCACTAAATTGCCTGGATCCTTTTCTCCTTTACTATGTTCTCATCTTCGTATCATCTCAGAATAACGGTTCTCCTCCCTTTTTTTCCTTACGTCAAAACAGAAATCTCCATGTCCATCCTAATCAAAACCAGCCCCAAACAGGCAGGGTGTGATTCTCTCGTGTCCGTCTTTACACCTCACTGACAATGACTGTACTCTTTCCTGCCACCCATTTGTGTTAAAATGAAATGACACTCGAGATATGCGAGTCTGAGTGGACGTTTTGCTTTAGAGATGCTTAACTTGTATTTGGGGATGAGCTGCGTTTCAAAAGGCGGAATCTTCTTTAGCCAGCATAAGCTTGGATGATACCCATGCTCATAACCTAAGTATCTCAGATCCTGCACTTGTAATATGTTTCTAATGCAAAGTGCTGTCACGTTCTGGTGACGGCATCATCGAAAAGTTTGACTTCATTGTAGATTTTTAAAACCTGGACATGATTATCCTACCTAGGCCCAGTGAAACTTCTGAATGTATCTGAAATGTAATAATTTTAAACTTGTTTTTTGGTCTAAACTAGATTGTATTTTATTCAGAAAAATAGTGCAAGTTCTAGAAAGCTTGAAGTGATGTACTTCTGTTGGTAATGTTTGATGTGTTTTGAATTGGAATTTTAAAGTGTTTTTCAGAATCTCCTTTACCCAATCCTCTAGTTATAGAGATACAATAGATGAAAAGAGGGAAATGATCAGCTACTTAGCAATAACTTGGCAGTTAATCATCGTGGGAAACATGAGTCAAACAGTATTGTACAGAACGAGCAGTTTGATACTTTGGACAGCTTTCTGGCTTCCCGGGCTGCCTGTGGAATTGCGGCATGATCTCTAAGAAGCTAGCACATCCGCACAGTGAAGGTGAAATGCGTGCACAATCCCGTCACACCCATACTTTTTTCTCACCCAAACATGGGTCAAAAAGTGGAAGAAACTATTTCAATCCTGTCCTGCTTCTGGAGGGGAGAGCAAAACGTGGTTCAGTCCATCTTCCCTTGCAGTCTCACAACATACAAAGATATGGGTGCGGCAAGAAGGGCACGTCGTTCTAGCGGCACACCAGAGGGAAGAGGCCAAGCAAAGTGACAGCTCTAAGAAGGAATGATAGCCAGCATAAAGGAGTTTATATTCAAATATTTAAACATTCTTGAAAGGATGCTTGAACAGGAATTCCTTTTTTTTTCTGCTCCCCGTGTAGAAATGAGTTTAACACTCAGCCAGATGCTAATGCAAAGTGACTCAAGCTATTCCTCGCAAGCATAGCTAAATTGCCGTTATTTGTTAAGCGCATTGAATTCAGCTGTGGATACAGCAGTTGGTTGCATTCAGCAAGCATCTGCACCTTTTTTTTTTTTTTTAATCTTCCCAAGCAGAGACAACCCTACCTATCTCCCCCCTCTCCTCCCCTGTGCTGGCTGGGAATTGTCAAGTGACAACCGACCAAATCCTTTTGGACAGGAAGCCTTCATCCTAAGTTCTATATACTTGCAAAACAGGCCTTGTGGTTGGATCAGGGAGCCCATTAAAAGCACTTTGATGGTATGGAAATTCATCTTCATGAAGCTCCTAGGCCCCTAAGCAGCATGCTGCTTAGCTCTGGTTACAGATCGGTCATTCACATCACAGGGCAATAATTGTGCTGACGGCTTGTAAGGCAAGGGTAGTACATAAAATAATCCCGGGCCCTCCACCATGGCACTGCGAGTTAATCTTCTCTAATACAGATCAGCTGTTGTTCTAACACATGACTTTGTGCAGGCTTCAGTGACTCTGCTCAGCCTTTTGATTAAGTAACAGGAGTGGAACCATCTGCATTCACTTATTCCATAGTTGTCCATTGTTAGGGGACCCCGCTTCCACTTCTTGTTCCACCTCCACCATCAGACTTTTCATTTCTCCGATTAGCACCTCCCATTTGAGATGGAAGAGTTAGACTTGCCTCTGTTGAAAGCTACTGCTTCCAATTTTTCTTGCCCTTTTGTAGAATTTGAATGACTTTTTAAAAAGACTATTTTTTGGAGTAATACTTGCCAGAATCTGCTGGCTGATTAAGACGTCTTCATTCTAAAGGTTATCATTCCCAAATCTCTTCACCATGCATTTGCAATGCAGTTGCGTTACGTCTTCAATTAAAGTCTTATATTGTTATGGGTTTTTAAGAGAAAGTCTTAAAATATGAAGGCAAGGAGTTCCAATATTGTAACAACATGTCAAACTCCTGTAATGTGTAGGCAAACCTTTTCAGCAGGACCTGCACTAATTCATCCCTTATGTTACCTTGACACCTAAGAATGAAATTGAGATTATTGATGCTCTCCTAGAAGCAGGTGTTACTGTGGTTGCCTTTTCTTGTTGAACAAATTTGGGTGTCACTCCTACAATACTACAATACCAATGATCAATATATCTCTGTGCAACTCATGAGAATGAGATGATGTCAAATTTAAATATTTTATATTCAACATTAATTATTGTTGAATAATTCAACACTAATTATTCAACATTAGCACCTGCTATGTACTTGAGATACTATATTGAATAAGAAAATATGTATTCTGCCTTTATAGTGTTTGGAGTTGAGCTCAAATTGTTATTTTGACCCTTAATCATGGCATACTTATGTTTGTGGGTCTGCCTATGGGAGTTGAAGAAGGACCCCATATTGTTTAGCATATCAGATCAGTTATACACCTGAGTTGACAAAGGTGGCTGCTTGCGCTTCACCTAAAGTGACATCACTATACATACTATATATTTCCCTAGTACCTACCTTTTTAATCAACTTTTATAATCACCCAACTTAAGCCATGCCAAAGCATAGGTAGATGAGTAATTGGCTTGACATTTTGCTTCACAGTTCTTGAAAGACAAACACAATATATGACAACTTCCTCTTACAGTCTGCACCATTATCTCCTCTTATCATTTGAATCCCTCTAAAGAAGGAGGATTTTCTTCCCCTCTCTACAACAGTACTCCCAATTTCCTAAACCCAGAAAGTATGTGGTATGTAAGGAGCGAAAAGGAGTGAAAAGGATAGAAAGGAGCTGGGAGAGAGGAAAAGGGGAAAGGGATTCTGATGGTGCTTTCCATCAGTCTAAGAGGCGACAGCATAACCTGAGATCCAGATCATGGGAGCCTAGAGTGGGGATCTGTTCTCCTGAGTACACAAGCCTTGTACACATTTACTTTTCTCCACATTTCAAATGACCAACATGGTTGTTCCAACTAGAAATTTTTAATTCTGAAGAGCTATAATTGGACAGTGAAAACAAGGAGAGGTGTGAAGAAAGGAATGGATGTTTTAGTAATATGTACTAAAACATGTAATGAAAGACATTTTTACTGAAACGCATTTTAATTGAAGGCTTCTAAAAGATATTTCATTTCTTAACTTTTCTTGGAAGTGTTTCAACATACCCAAGAACTGTGTATGTCAGGTTTCTTGGAAACTCTGGGACACAGTGTTATTTATAATTGTCATCTCTGGTTAATTATAGCCTGATTGTATATTCAAATAATGTTATCTTTTTACCACACAGCTCTGTTATAGATTAGTTAACAGAGATGGATGAATAAGTAAGCTTCTCAGGTAGGAAGCCCAGAAAGAAGACCCTCATACATTTTGTTGTAAAAGAAAACCCACCTTACTTTATTAACATCCAAATGACAGTTTCGACCACACAATTAACTGCATATTCAGATTCTGACCTTGTGGTTGAAGGTATCCATACCTAATAGGAGATCCCACCAGGCAATACAAATGTGCTAGTGACCCAGGGCTCTGGAGTAAATGGAAGAAGAGACCAGAAGTTCCCCAGCCCTTTTCTCTGACTCCCAATGTTATCCTAGGGAGGTGCTACCTATGCTGTAGTGTCTGTTAGAAACGTGTTTTGTTACATGTATCAGGAAATCTAAATACAGTAACTTCAGCAAGGATTATATTTTAGCATATAATGAAGTAAGGAGCAGAAGGTTGGTGACATTAGTTTATCAGCTCAATGATGTCAGGATTGACATATCTGTGATTCTCTTGGTTTTTCCCTTAGGGTCACAACAAGTGACCAACAAGTATCATGAAGGCAAGCAGTCCAGGAAGGGGGATTTGTTTTCTGTTTGCTAAGTGCGGTCGTCATTCACATAGGGATGTTTTTTACATTATTCTCATAGAGATGCTTCACTGCACCCCCCGAGCTGACTTCCACAAACATCTCCTTTGGTATGCTGGGCTATACGCGCATCTTTAAGACAATTACTGACTGAAGGAAGAGAGGTTGCTTTAAATTGATCATGAATTATTTTCTGGGACTAAATGAGAGACCTGACTCTGTCCTCCCTGAAATCAAAGTATATCTTAAGATCAAAGATTAAATTGGCAGAAAGGAGAAAAAGGACCAGAGCAGCTCTTGGGTAGCAAAGGCCATTGCAAGCCACAGCTACAGGAGAAAACGGATATCACAGCTCTCAAAACTGCTTTGTTTTTTACTGTCACATGTTTGTTGTCATCAGCGTAACAACTTTTGCTGTTCCACTGTTGCATGTTTAGGGCCTTCCTTATGACTTGTCTGTGGCTCATAAAAAATTAAATTACACATAAGCACGTCCAAAAGAAAATACTGCTTGGTGACAGGTTGAATCGATAAACGTGTGTTCACACACATGCTCTCTACATGTTAAGGCCAACTTCAGTATTACTTTTCTGATATAAAACAGATGTCACTCACAAAAGTAAACATACAAATGTGTGCATACATGTCTTAAGGTAGAGAATGCATGCACCAGACACTAACTGCCTGCAGTGTACCTGAAACCTAAACACCTGCACTTGCTGTGAACGAACACACTGACAGCTGCGAAGAACAGCTGGGAAAATGTCTTAACTCTCCTTCACAGGTTCAGTGAAAATTGTTTGCAAATTTCCATAGAATAAGAT